GTGTTGAAACTGGGGCATTTATTTCATACATTCGTCTGTGTGGAGGCAGAAAGGGAGCAGGGTTTTCTCCTGTGCTTCAGGCAGCAGAATGTCATGGACCACCCCCGACACTTTTAAAAGGGCTCTTTTCCATCTGCCTCTTTGCAAGAGCGACCCCAGTTCCCTCAGGAAAGGAATTTCTCCACCCCAAAACAAGCACCCCAAGTGCCCAAGATCCTGTCTGGCTCCTCCAGTTTGATCTATGGTTTGGGGAAGATCCCATGGAAAAATATTCCTATGAAAGGACAAGAAACTACTTTTGATTTCTTGGATCCATTTTCTTACCTTCTTTCCTCAAGATATGCCTTCTTGTTGTTGTCTAGTTCTGTCTGACCCCATGGACCAGAGCATGCCAGGTCCTCCCAGATTTGGCTCAAATTCATGTAGGTTGCTTCGCAGACACTGTCCAGCCATCTCATCCTCGTTCGTCCCCTTCTCCTCTTGCCCTCACACTTTACCAACATCAGGGTCTTTTCCAAGGAGTCTTCTCTTCTCATGAGATGGCCAAAGTACTGGAGCCTCAGCTTCAGGATCTGTCCTTCCAGGGAGCACTCAGGGTTGATTTCCTTTAGAATGGATATGTTTGTTCTCCTTGCAGTCCAGGGGACTCTCAAGAACCTCCTCCACCACCACAATTCAAAAGCATCAATGCTTCGGAGGTCAGTCTTCCTTATGGTCCAGCTCTCACTTCCGTACATTACTACTGGAAAAACCATAGCTTTGATTAAGGTGATGTCTCTGCTTTTTAAGATGCTGTCAAGATTTTTCATCGCTTTCCTCCCAAGAAGCAGGTGTCTTTTAATTTTGTGGCTGCTGTCCCCATCTGCAGTGATCATGGAGTCCAGGAAAGTAAACTCTGTCACTGCCTCCATATCTTCCCCTTCTATTTCCTAGGAGGTGATGGGACCAGTGGCCATGATCTTAGTTTTTTTGATGTTGAATTTCAGACCGTTGTTTGCACTCTCCTCTTTCACCCTCATTACAAGGTTCTTTAATTCCTCCTCACTTTCTGCCATCGGAGTGGTGTCATCTCCATATTGGAGGTTGTTGATATTTCTTCCAGAAATTGGGATTGGGATTCCAGTTTGGGATTCCTCCAGTCCGGCCTTTCACATGATGTATTCTGCAAATAAGCCGGGGGACAATATACAGCCTTGTCACACTCCTTTCCCAATTTTGAACCAATGAGTTGTTCCATATCCAGTTCTAACCTGTTGCTTCCCGTCCACATATAGGTTTCTCAGGAGATACACAAGGTGGTGAGGCACTCCCATTTCTTTAAGGACATGCCATAGTTTGCTGTGCTCCACACAGTCAAAGGGTTTTGCATAGTCAATGAAGCAGAAGTAGATGTTTTTATGGAACTCTCTGGCTTTCTCCATAATCCAGCGCATGTTAGCAATTTGGTCTCTAGTTCCTCTGCCCCTTCAAAATTCATCTTGTACTTCTGGGAGTTCTTGGTCCACATGTTGCTGAAGCCTACCTTGTAGGATTTTGAGCATAACCTTGCTAGCGTGTGAAATGAATGCAATTGTGCAGTAGTTGGAGCATTCTTTGGCACTGCCCTTCATTGGGATGTAGACTGATCTTTTCCAGTCCTCTGGCCACTGCTGAGTTTTCCAAACTTGCTGGCATATTGAGTGTAGCACCTTAACAGCTACATCTTTTAAGATTTTAAATAGTTCCACTGGAATGCCATCACCTCCACTGGCCTTGTTGTTAGCCAGACTTTCTAAGGCCCACTTAACTTCACTCTCCAGGATGTCTGGCTCAAGGTCAGCCACCACACTATCTTGGTTGTCCGGGACATCCAGATCTTGCTGGTATAATTCCTCTGTGTATTCATTCCATCTCTTCTTGATGTCTTCTGATTTTGTGAGAATGTTTGTTTTTTATCATGACCATTTTTGCACAAAATGTTCCTTTAATAGCTCCAATTTTCTTGAACAGATTTCTGGTTTTTCCCTTTCTATCCTTTTTCTCTATTTCTTTGCATTGTTCATTTAAGAAGGCCCTCTTGTCTCTCCTTGCTATTCTTTGGAAGTCTGCATTCAGTTTTCTGTAACTTTCCCTATCTCTCTTGCATTTTGTTTCCCTTCTCTTCTCTGCTATTTGTAAGGCCTTGTTGGACAGCCACTTTGTTTTCTTACATTTGTTTTGGGATCTATTTCTATTTCTTTGTTCGGTGTCAACTACAGCAAAAATACTAATAATTACTAGGCTGTTTTGGATAGGATAATTAACTTTAAAAGATTCGGCCGGAGGACGTAGCACAAAGAAACTATGTTGTCCAAACTGGTTCTGCATATTTTGTAATCAAAGTTTTGGCTCTTGTTCTCTCCTCACAATGCCTTCTCTGGTTGATGTTTCTTTTGCCAAAAGAAAGAGAAAGGGATTGTGGAAATGGTGAAAAAGGGAAGAAAGAGACCAGAGAGGGAGAGAACAGTGTGGCCTCTGTCAAATGGTCTGCCTAGGATCTCCTTTTCCCCTTCTTGAATCTGGGATGCCTCCTCCTCCTTCCCCCCATTGCAACTGGGAAGGATGGTGAGTCTGTCCCAGCAGAGCTGCCTGTAAGGGTGGGGGGAACTGGGGGAGGCCAGATGAAGGAGAGGGGCAAGAGGTGGAGGATAGTCCCTAAAACTGGGCAGGAGAGGCAGCTGGAGGGGAATCGAAGGTTATGATGACCCAAACCATTTGGCTGCCTGAGCACCAAATCCATATTACACATCTACCTACAAAGAGAGAAATTTGGAAATTCTTACCCTTGGAATGAGAGATGGTTCTTTGTTGTTCCAATTGAAAGGCAGGAGCTTTCCTTTGGGGGCTGCAAGAGGGAGGCAGAGGGGAGACCTGCTGCTCAACGAGCTGCAGATGGTCCAGGAACCTCAGGAAGATTCACTGGAAAACATTACATTGCTTCATCAACCACCAATTCATCATCTGCTAACTGCTGTGGTCATCCTTCTCTGCTTTAGCCCTGGGCCCATGAAAAGCAGGAATTCAGAGGTGTTAGCTAAGAATTATGAGAAATATTACAAAACCTCTAGAATCAGGGTTCTGTCCTGGGCTGAACCTTTTCCTATTCTAGAAAGGCAGCTCTAAGCTACTGTAGCTAAGAAGAAAACCTCCATCTCCGGTGGAACTGTACCAGACAACATTTAGGAATAGTGTTATGAAATTGTTTTCTTTTTCTTCTAAGTAATTCGAATAGATCCATCCGGGTGGGAGATGCTTCCACTTCTGACCCTCTGACGGTCTGAAGCACTTTGGTCAGTAGCTGTCAAGTGAAGGAAGAGCCCCACATGCCTGTCTCTCAGCTCAGCCTTGGGATCCTCCTGCCTTTTATTTTTAGTGATGAGGTTTGATTGGCGGCTGCTGTCTTGCCTTTTTCGCCTTCACTGTGTTAACACGGGAGGGTCTTGGCTTTGCAGAGCTTCCATAGTCTGGGCTTTTAAGGCAGTCTTTCCTCCGCAGAAGAAGAAGGGGTCCAGGACTTCATTGGAGGCCTTGTTGGGTGCAGAATAAAATGGCAGCCCAACACACATCTGGCCCCAGGGAAGGAAGAGACCCTGATGTTCTCAAGGCATGAGGTCTTGGGACCTTCTGGGAAGGAACAGCACAGAAGGTCCGAAGTGAGGAGATGCTCAGCTCAGATACAGAGTGCCAGAAATTCAGGGAATTCTCCTACGAGGAGGCTGAGGGTCCTCGAGAGGTTTGCACTCGGCTCTGCCATCTTTGCCGTCAGTGGCTCAAGCCAGAGCAATGGACAAAGGCTCAGATGTGGACCTCGTGATCCTGGAATAGTTCCTGGCCGTCCTCCCCCTGGAGATTTCGAGCTGGGTGAGAGAATGTGGAGCCGAGACCACTTCCCAGGCGGTGGCCCTGACCAAAGGCTTCCTGGGTCTGAGTCAGGCAGAAGAAAAAAAAGGAAAAGCAGAAGACAATTAATGTTGGCGTCACAAATGAATCACAGTTCCTTACGTCGGGGAGTCCCTCTTCCACTTTAAAACAGGGTGTGTGCCCTCCTTAAAAGGGTCAAGGAAATGAAATCCCAGAAATTCTACCCCTTTTCAAATGTCTTGGAAAAATCCAACCATGATATGTCTTTTCTTTCTTTTTATTCCACATAATGGATCCTCAGAGGAGTAATCCCACAGTAGAAATCCAGTCTGATTTCTATGCAGCAGAGAAACCCCCTTTCGACACCGGAAAAAGATCTCAAAGACAAGAGAGCCATCCAAGCAACAAGGAAAGTTCCAGTTCAGTAGGTAAGGGTTCATGCTGAGAGAGTTTGTATTTGTGTTTCTCTTTGCATATCGTTTCCTCCCTCCCCTGGTACCTTTTAGGCTAGAGGGACACTAGTCTGTAGTTCTTTCTATATGTCAACCCTGTGTTTTCCTTTTAACTTTTCCTAGACTTTTCACATAGCCAGCAGGTCTTCTGTTTCTCCAAAGGAGGCCAAATATGAAAAAGATTGACTTTTATGGCATCTGAAAGAGAATACCTAAAGTACAAATTTTGGAAGAGAACTTGATTCAACGATGGGTACCTGTTTGTGGGTTGGTTATCATGATATTCCACATTTTTTCTGAGATGCTCACAGCTGCCTTCCGCCTCACTTTAAACTTCATAGAATTACTTTGTGCGGGAGATCAGGCTGAGGGGAGATTGGATGGTTCCACATCACCCAGTCAGTACCATGGTTCATCAGGGCCCAGAAGGAGACCACCGGAGTCACCGCCCCACAGACTAACCCCAATGGATCTTAAAATGCTTTGGCATCGGTCCCCCTTTTTTATTCTTCTGAAATACTTTTGTTTCCCCATATCTCCTTTGCCATCATCCAGCAAATTTTATGCAAAATTTCTGATTGTAATTTAAAATGAAAAATAAATGCAGTTTTTTAAAATTCTTTTCTCTTTTCTGACAATGTGAGAATGGAAATTTAACTGTAAGAAGTAGCTTAAGTGAACCACAAAATACCCACCACCGATTGAAGACTTTAGATTAAATGTTAAGAGGAATTATGACTTTGACCCAACTCTGGAGGCAGAGGAAGACAGGAGGGCCTGGGGTGCTCTCGTCCAGTGGGTCATGAAGAGTCAGACACGACTAAACATCAGTAAGGAATATTGGGTTGGAGAGGATAATACAGTGGTTCCTCGCATTGCGACATTAATTTGTTCTGCAAAAATCGCTGCAGAACAAAAACGTTGCAATGCGAAATAAAAAAAGCCCATAGAAACGCATTGAAACCCCTTCAATGGGTTCCTATGGGCTTAAAACTCACCGTTCAGCGAAGATCCTCCATAGCGCGGCCATTTTCAGTGCCTCTCAAGCGAGGAATCCGTCCCAGAAAACAGTGGGCAGCCATTTTGTTTACCCGGCGGCCATTTTGAAACTGCCGATCAGCTGTTGGGAAATTGTCGCTTTGTGATCCTCGGTTCCCGAAGCAGGGAACCGATCATCGCAAAGTGATTTCATCACTAAATGGAGCAATCGCTATGCGAGGCACCACTGTATGTTTTAATTCTGCAGTTGGCATAATGCCCAGTTCAGGAGTTTGGTATGGGGCAGGGTGTTTAGTTATGCTAAGTTGTGGAGAAATTTCTTTATATCTCTCGGAATACCATTTTTTCACACTTTCCTGAAGGGGAACTGTTTCTTTTATGGCAACAAGTATCTTGATCCTTGAATCCTTTTTTAGCTTGCATTTCTTGAGGTCATGATCTGATTGTGAGAGAATCTTATGCGAATGGCTTCCCATCCCCTTGGTCTGTCCCGCAGGGTCTGTGAAGATGCCAACAACAAATATTCCTTTGTCTCTTCCTGGTGATGCAGTGGAACCCGATCAGGTACAAAGAAGGCAGTTAAGTCTAGCATCCTGGGTCTCACAGAGGCTCCCTTGATGCTTCATGGAAGCTCCAGAGGCTGGCAAGTAGGCTGCCAGTAGCTCTTTCCCTCCCCCTCTTTATCTCCAGCCACTGGGGTTCGGAGACTTCTCTTCCTGGAGGGAGCACATAGCCAAGGTGACTCGTAAGCCTTGGTAAACTTGTCCTCCTTTAGAAGGGGTATTGATGAAACTTAAAACCTACAATAGAAGAAACTACCACTTCTTTTTAAATGTCTTTTGGATTTAGGTGAAACCTATATGGAAAGAATTCTTTATTTTTCATTTTTAGAGTCCAGTGACCTTTGAGGAGGTGGCTGTGTCCTTCACTCAAGAGGAGTGGAGGCTGCTGGATCTTGACCAGAAGGCCCTGCACCAGGAAGTCATGGAGAAGAACTGGCAGATGATATCTTCCCTCAGTAAGGCCCCCTCCTTCTCAAGCCTATTGCTAATCTTTCTTTACCAAGGCACTACGGAGACTAACAACAACAGCAACAATAGTTCTGTGTCAGAATAGTGTCCAAATTCATGCTAGCCACTGCAGGGCCCATAATGCTGGACTGGGCAATCTGTGGCCGTCCAGATGCGCTGAGCTCCAGATCCCATCCTCATAGCCAACTCTGCCGATGGAGAATCATGGTGAGAAGAGTCGTTCATCAACATCTGAAGAGCTGAAAGTTGATGAGAGATACAGCTTAGAGTGGGAATGAAGCTTTGGCCCTGCTGGCTTCATTGTGGAGGTTTTCATTAGTTAAGCTACATACTAATCACTTAATGATTAAGGAAGATCAATGATAGGGCCCTTTAGAGATATGATCCACTTGCCTATTCCTTTTTTGTTAGCTTCCCTGAGTGAAAGGCTTCCAAGTGGGCTTTTTTTCTAATAGATTTAGATTTAGATATTATGATATTTAGATTTAGATATTATGCTAATTGATCCCTTTAGTAGCATTGTACTCATTTAGTGAACTTAAACACTGTCTTCTCATTGTTCTAAGCTACCTGGGGTCCTTTTATAGGAGAAGGGTTACAAATTTTATATAAATAAATAAAGCATCTGGTCAGTTTCCTAAAATATCGCATCTATGAAAGGTCTGATCTGTAGTTTGCTATTTTATTTTAGAGCATTGTTTAGAGGAACCATTGGCAGCCATAATGACATTTCCTGCCCTGACTGATTGCTATGCTCCACCCTCTTCCACATTGCCAAATATCTCCTTACAGTTCGCAAAACATAAAAGAATAAAACCATCTTGAAACATGTAAAATGAAACGCAAATCAGTGTACGTTGAGAGTGATAAGACTCAAATTTCTGTATATCTCGTACTCTCTTGGAATACCATTTTCTCACACTTTCCTGAAGGGGCACCGTTTATTGCGTATTCCTACCCAACCACACATGCACAAGCACACTCCTACCCACCCGCACGCAGGAAGGCTCTCCGTTCTTTGGAGAGTTTTGTTTGCACCAGAGTTTTGTTTTTAGCTTCTAGCTTCCCTTTCCTGAGGTCATGATCTCATTGTCAGAGAATCTTATGCGAATGGCTTCCCACCCCCTTGGTCTGTCCCGCAGGGTCTGTGAAGATGCCAACAACAGGTATTGCTTCGTCTCTTCCTGAGGATGCAGCACTACCAGATCAGGTACAAAGAAGGCGGTTACGGGACACCATGGATCCGAATAGTGGAGTATTTAGCCACTTTACTCCTCATGGATGATGGCCATGCTTTTTTAAATAATATGATAATTTTCGTCAATTATTATATAGCAGGCTGATAAGCATGGCTTTTTCCATGTCGAAAAGAATTTTGTTTCTCTTTTGTTTTGAAGAATAGGCCAAGAATTGTTTGAGGTTTTCCAGAATGGAATGTGGGGACAGCAGGAATTACTTTCCTCTCCCTATTTTTTCATCTGGAATCTGTTGTAAGGCATCTAGGGTGGTCATGATTGACCAGATAGGCAGGATATAAATAAAATAAATAAATAAATACATCTCTCAGCCTCCGTTTTCTTGTGGAAGTGATAAGACGAAGAGTAGCTGTGCTGGATCAGAGCAAAGACTGGTTAAGTCTAGCATCCCGTTTCTCACAGAGGCTTCCTTGATGCCTCAGGGAAGTTTAAAAGGCTGGCAAGTAGGCCACCAGTAGCCCTTTCCCTCCCTCTGTTAATTCCCAGCCACAGGGGTTCAGAGACTTCTCTTCCTGGAGGGAGGACATGGCCAAGGTGACTCGTAACCCTTAGTAAACTTGTTCCCCTATACCTACAATATAAGATCCAGCCACTTGTTTTTAATTACGTTTTGGATTTAGGAGGTTATTTTGTTGAAACATATGAGGAATGCCTCCTTTCTTTCCCATTTTTAGGGTTCAGTGACCTTTGAGGAGGTGGCCGTGTCCTTCACCCAGGAGGAGTGGGCACTGCTGGATCCCAACCAGAAGGCTCTCCACCAGGAAGTCATGGAGGAGAACTGGCAGATGATATCCTCTCTTGGTAACGCCCCCTCTTTCTCCATCTAATGCTAATCTCTCTTTTACCAAGGCACTAAGAGCAGTAATAATAACAACAACAGCAACAATAGTTCTTCTCTTATTATTTTAACTGCACTTTTAAAAAACTTTCTGAACTAGTGGTTCTTGTGGGTTTTTCAGGCTCTCTGGCCGTGTTCTGAAGGTTGTTCTTCCTAACATTTCGCCAGTCTCTGTGGCTGACATTTTCAGAGAACAAGAGTAACACTCTGTGCTCTGGTGCAGTTTGTTTGGGAGTTTAGTATTTATAGCTGTGGGATAAGCTTTTGTTCTTTTCAGGAGATGGGTAATTATGGTGATCAATACCACATTGCCTATTAGCTCCCTATAGTTCGTAAAACATAATAGAAGGAATTATTCAAGACTCAAATAAAAACCCTTTCCCCTCAGGAGATCATAAGAGTTAAGACTGGAGGAAAAAGTTTGAAAGGGAAGAGGCCACACTGAGAGAGAAACGAGAGAATGGCTAGAATGGAGAAACCCATACCAGTACAGGACACCCACAAGATGGTGGAGAACTCCCTCCCCAGAGAAGACCACATAGAAGAGAGACAGACAGTTGTGGGGACACAACAAACTGCCTCTGTAGCACTGGCAATTTCCAAGGGATAATGCTAAAGCATGGAAACGAAAATAATCCCATTCTCCAGATTTGGGGAAATTAAATGTTTCAGCAAATTATTCTGTTAACCCCTTCCTTTCTCTGTTGGAGGAGAAGGTGGAACTAGCTTGTTAATTGATTTGGAATGAAATGTTGATGATTTAAAGCAAGAACTATTGTGTAGAGTATCTGTCGATGGGGAATAAAAAGAGGGGGCAGAGATAAGCCCCCACACGGTCAGGAGATGAGATTGCAAAATTAAAGGGGAGAAGAGGACAAGATATTATATACCTTAAACAACCAACAGATTTATTTCTATGTAGGCTTTCATGCATCCAAATCCACTCTTAATAAATCCTCTTTTTTCCCCATAGATCTATATCACTCTTCGGTTCTGTCTCTCCTGCATTTGTCCTTCTTCCTCAGAGATAAATGGAGGAAGAAAAATTCATATCCAAGATCTAGAAAGAGTTTTATGGACCAATTAGAGGTTGCTAGATACCAGAGAATACATGCAGAAAGGGAAAGCTGTATTCCAGAGAAGACTTACAAATGCATTGTGTGTGGAAAATATTTTCCCATGAAGATAGCGCTGATGCTTCACAAAAGGATCCACACTGGGAAAAAGTGCTTTGTGAGTGAAATGTCTGGGAAATGTTTAAATCGGATGCAACACTTTGTGAATCGTGAAAGAAAGAAGCCATACAAATGCCAGGAGTGTGGAAAATGTTTTGCTCGAGATTCACACCTTGTAAATCCTAAGAGAGTTCACACAGGAGAGAAACCATACAAATGCCAGGAGTGTGGGAAACATTTTACTAAAAATTCAAGCCTTTGGAAGCATAAGAGAGTTCACACAGGATACAAACCATACAAATGTAAAGAGTGTGGGAAATGTTTTGCTGATAATTCTACACGTATCAGTCATATGAGAATCCACACAGGAGAGAAACCGTACAAATGCCAGGAGTGTGGGAAATGTTTTGGTCGGACTTCAAACCTTCTAAGGCATAGAAGAGTCCACACAGGAGAACATCCGTACAAATGCCAAGAGTGTGGGAAACAATTTATTGAGAATTCCAGTCTTGTAAAGCATAAAAGCCTCCACACAGGAGAAAAACCGTACAAATGCCAGGAGTGTGGGAAAAGTTTTGCTGAGAATTCATACCTTGTTAGTCATAAGAAAGTCCACAGGGGAGAACATCCATACAAATGCCCGGAGTGTGGGAAATGTTTTGCTGTGAATTCAAACCTTCAAAGGCATAGAAGAGTCCACACAGGAGAACATCCGTACAAATGTCAGGAGTGTGGAAAACATTTTATTGAGAATTCCAGCCTTGTAAAGCATAAGAGACTCCACACAGGAGAAAAACCATACAAATGCCAGGAGTGTGGAAAATGTTTTGCTCAGAATTCAACACTTACGTGTCATAAGAGAATCCACACAGGAGAAAAACCGTACAAATGCCAGGAGTGTGGGAAATGTTTTGCTCGGAATTCATACCTTGCAAGTCATAAGAGAATCCACACAGGGGAGAAACCGTACAAATGCCAGGAGTGTGGGAAATATTTTGCTCGGAATTCAGATGTTTTGAATCATAACAAAGTCCACACAGGAGAACATCCATACAAATGCCAGGAGTGTGGGAAACATTTTAATGAGAATTCCAGCCTTGTAAAACATAAGAGACTCCACACAGGAGAAAAACCTTACAAATGCCAGGAGTGTGAGAAATGTTTTGCTCAGAATTCATACCTTGCGAGTCATAAGAGAGTCCACACAGGAGAAAAACCTTACAAATGCCAGGAGTGTGAGAAATGTTTTACTCGGAATTCATACCTTGTGAGTCATAAGAGAATCCATACAGGAGAGAAACCGTACAAATGTCAGGAGTGTAGGAAATATTTTGCTGTTAATTCAAGCCTTAGTCATAAGGGGATCTACACAGGAGAGAAACCTTACAAATGCCAGGAGTGTGGGAAATGTTTTACTAAAAATCAAGCCTTTTGAAGCATGAGAGACTACACACATGAGAAAAGCCTTATGAATGCCAGGAGTGTGGGAAATGTTTTTCTGTGAATTCAACACTTATTAGTCATAAAAGAATCTGCACAGGTGAAAAACCGTACAAATGCCAGGAGTGTGGACAATGTTTTGCTGTGAATTCAAGCCTTGTGAGTCATAAAAGAGTCCACACAGGAGAGAAACTTTACAAATGCCAGGAGTGTGGGAAATGGTTTGGTCAAGATTCTCACTTTTTGAATCATAGGACAGTTCACACAAGAAAGAAATCACAGAAATGAATTATGAGAAATGTTTTGCTCAGAATTCATACCTTGCGAGTCATAAGAGAGTCCACACAGGAGAAAAACCGTACAAATGCCAGGAGTGTGGGAAATGTTTTAGTCAAGATTCTCACTTTTTGAATCATAGGACAGTTCACACAAGAAAGAAATCACAGAAATGAATTATGAGAAATGTTTTGCTCAGAATTCACCTTTTAGGGACTGTCAGGTAGTCCAGTCAAGAAAAAATAAAGAAGTTCATGACCTGAATGGAAGAGGATGGGGGCAGGGCGCTTTATGGCGCTTCGTTGCAACTAACTTTGGTGCCGAACGCTTCCTATGGCTTTGTTACGGAGAGAGGATGAGAAATTAGGAGGAATTTCTAGTTTCGAGCATACAGTGATCATACTGGTTTTTCACTTAGTCTGTTATATTGTAATTTTCCACTGCTCTTTCTCACACTTTCCACTGTTTTTTCAGGATCACTGAAATCCTAGAAAAGTGAAGTTGGAAGGGGCCTACAAGGCCATCAAGTCCAACTCCCTGCTCATTGCAGGAATACAGCGGTGCCTTGACTTACGAACTTAATCCATATTGGAATGGCGTTCGCAAGTCAAAATGTTCATAAGCACAATTTCCCGTAGGAATGCATTGAAAACCCATTAATCCATTTCGGCTGAAGAAAAAAAAATACCGTCCCCAAAATAAAAATAAAAATCTGCAGGCCCATAGGCTGCAAAAAACAAAACAAAACACAAAAATAACCCCCAAAATAACCCCACCAGCCCAATCCCACCCTGCAAAAGCCACCCAAAACATTACAAAGCAGCACACTTGCCTCCCCACGAAGCCTCCTCTCAAGCCTCCCGGCCATGGTCATCTGGCCAAGCCCTGTTGCCACCGAAACCACCATCAGCAGGGAGCCATCTGGGAGCTCACCCGGCCTTCCCCATAGCCGCACAGGCCCCACTGCCACCGAAGCCGCCGCCGCCGATCGCTACCTTCAGGTTTTCCTGTGGGGTAGACGAGGCCTACCAGGGGAAGCCCTTCGCTGGTACACCAGGCCTACCAGCGGAGGGCTTCCCTGATAGGCCCGGTCTACCCCCAGGAAAGCCTGAAGGCAGCTATTGCCGGAGCAGGGAATCCCTGAGAGGTCTCCCATGGTGGCGGAGAAGCTGTGGGAGGCCTCCGAAGGCAGCAATCTGCGGTGGCAGGGGACGCTCGGGAGGTCTCCCATGGTGGCAGGTGACCCCTGGGAGCCCCCCGAAGGCGGTGATGGCGGCAGCACTGGGAGGCTGAGCCTTCATTTTCGTAACTGTTGGGGCAAAAGAGCTACAAAGAAACGGCTTCATTTTCGTAACTGTAGGGGCAAAAGAGCTACAAAGAAACAGCCTCTTCGCCACCAACGGTTAGGTTTTTTTTTAAAAAAATTCTGCCCCTTTCCCCTGCCTGTTTCTGTTCGCAAGTCAAAGCTCCAATTTTGCTTTGACTTGTCTCTGGAGCTGTTTGTAAGTCAAATTTTTCATAGTTCAGGGCGTTCGTAAGTCAAGTCACCACTGTACAATCAAAGCACATCTGCCAGGTTATTATCCAAGATGTTCTTGAATGCCTCCAATATGGGAGCACTCACCAACTCCCGAGGTAACTGGTTCCACTGTCGTACTGCTCTAACATTGAAAACGTTTTTCCCGATATTTGTCATGATTTCCTCACAATATTCAGCCAATATCTGGTTTCCTTTAACTTGAGCCCATTGTTGTGTGTCCTGCACTCTGGGATGACACATCTTGCCCCTCCTCTGTATGACAGCCTTTCAAATATTTGAAAAGTACTATCATATCATTTTAGTCTTTTGTCAAGGCTAAAAATGCCCAGTTTTTTGAACCTTTCGTCTTAAGGCTTGGTTTCCAATCCCCTGTTCATCCTTGGCGCTCTCCTCTGAACTTGTTCCAATTTGTTAGCATCTTTCTTGAAGTGTGGTGTCCAGAATTGGACATAATACTGAAGGTGAGGCCTAAACAGTGCTGAATAGAGGGGGACTAGCACCTTGTGGGATTTGGAAACTATACTTCTATTAATGCAGCCTAAAATAGCATTTGCCTTTTTTGTAGCCACATCACATTGTTGGCTCCTATTTATCTTGTGATCGATGACAATTCCAAAATCCTCACTCATATTTTTGCTGAGCCAGGTATCCCCCATCTTGTAACTGTGCAATTGGTTTCTTTTTCCGAGGTGCGTTACTTTACACTTACCCCTGTTGAATTTCATTCTGTTGCTTTCGGCCCAGTGTTCCAACTTATTAAGGCCATTTTGAATTTTGTTTCTGTCTTCTAGGGTATTAGCTATTCTGCCCAATTTTGTATCATCTGCAAATCTTACAAGCACTCCCTACATTCCCTCATCCAAGTTATTAACAAAAATATTGAAGAGCACCAGGTTTAGGACTGAGCCTTGGCATACCCCACTTGTGATGTCCTCCCAGATAGAGAAGGACCTATTAATCATCACTCTCCAAGTATGATTCTTTGGCCAATTGTGTGTCCAACTCACCCTTGATCTATCCAGCATTCTACAGCATGTCTACAGCATTCCCTCTGTCTATCAGGGAGGTGACCTATTCAAAAAAATGAGATCAAATTAGTTTGGCAGGATTTGGTCTTGATAAATCCGTGTTAGCTTCTAGTTTTTGCTGCTTTGTTTTTTAGGTGCTTTCACAATGACCGCTTTATGATGTGTTCCAGAATTTTGCCTGTAATTGATGTAAAGCTGACTGGCTTGTATTTCCCAGGTTCCTCTTTTTTGCCCTTTTTGAAGATAGGGATAACATTGGCTCTCCTCCAATGTTAGCCTCTACTCTTGAAGTCTGCTGACATCTTACAGCTTTTCCCCCCTGAAAACAGCCTCCCCTTTGTATTTCTTTTAATCCTAACAAAATGTTCAAAAGGCAAATTCCTTCTCATGTGCCAGGGATGAATTGACTTGTAGCGCAGGTTAGGAAAATGCTACTGAGAGATTTTTAAAAAGGATCACCTGAGACAGATTGATCTGCACTTTCAGCTATGCTCTCCTGGCTAGTCAACTAAGAAGAATTTTTCTTAGAAATTGGCACCTCCAGAGGAATGCCTAAAAATTTGGGTTTAAGAGAACGAGGGTTTTAAAGGAAATTTTAATTTTAATTCGAGATCTTAAGTAGCATTAGGACCCAGGGAAGTGCCTTAACAATAGGATGTTTCAAACGTAGGAGGTGTAATGTGTGTGATCAATGTATTGAGGGATCACATTTGACCATCCCTGGAGTTAATGTTGTTTTTAGATCTGGATCATTCTCAATATGTTCAACGCCCCATTTAGTTTGCCTGATACTCTGTGATTGTTCCAAAATGTGTGTGGGAAGCCTGGCAAGGCCAGTTAAAATCAGGATGCAAGAACACCAGTCAAGGATTAGAAGATAAATGGATGTGCCACTAGTAATTTTGTAGAAATGGGTTTCAAAGGAGATAGTTTTAATTTTTTTTGTTCTATATGTTACTACAAAGACTGGTGAGGAAGCCATATCCAAAAATCTCCTACAGAAGGAAATAATATGGATATTCAGATTAAAATCTCTTGTTCCAAATGGTTGGAATGCCAGTATTGATTACATATGAGAGAAGAAAGAACTCTTAAAAGAGGAAAAAGGAAAGATGGAGGAGTTGAAGGGGAAAGTAGAAGTCTGTTTGGTAGAAGAAGGAGGAAAAGGCAAAGAAAAGGAATTAAAGATGTCAGTGGGGGAGAGAGGTATAAATGCTCAGGGAGAGAGGTGGTTCAACAGTAGATTTGAAGAAGGGGGTATGAATAAGAAGGAGAGATAAGTGAGAAAAGGAGACAGATTATGAAAAGATGCACGGTCTTCTTAAAGATTTTCCAAATCTGAAAGTCGGAGGGTTCCTGCCAGATCCTGAACCCAAGAGGAAAAGATACACAGTGTATGATACCCAAGAGTGGACTGTAATTGTCTTCCCGTGGGGACAGGGACGAGGCAAGAGAGGGAGAGCCTCGTGGCGCAGTGGTTAAAACACTGTACTGCAGCTAAAACTGTGCTCACGACCTGGGGTTCAAATCCCAGGTAGCCGGCTCAAGGTTGACTCAGCCTTCCATCCTTCCGAGGTCGGTAAAATGAGTACCCAGCTTGCTGGGGGGGGCAATGTGTAGCCTGTATAATTAAAAATTGTAAACCACCCAGAGAGTGCTTGTAGCGCTATGGGGCGGTATATAAGTCCAATAAATAAATAAATAAATAAATAAATAAATAAATAAATAAATAAATTTCCTGATATTCAGCTGATATCCAGCTTCCTGCAGCTGGAGCCCATTATGTTCTGCACTCTGGGATGATTAGAACAGATCCTGCCCTTCCTTTGTATGACAGTCTTTCATATATTTGAAAAGTGTTACCATATTTTCCTTTTCTTCTTTTCTCAAGCCTAAGCATGCCCAGTTCTTTCAGTCTTCCCTCACAGGGCTTGGCTTCTAGTCTCTTGATCATCCTTGTCGCCCTCCTCTGAACTTGTTCCCTGCAAATTTGAGCTGTGGACTCCTTAGGGCTGGGATCAGTTGTCTTGTGGAAATTATTAAAAATCCTAAGACCAGACAGGTGCTTTAAATCAGAGTGAAAAGGGAAAGGGAAGAGCACCATCGGAAGAAACGTTACAATTCTGGAAGTGGAACAGGAATCCTTGAAATGAAGGGAAAGGTCCTGTTCTCCATTGCTGGGGAGGCGCTTCGTTTCAATTTTGTTTGTGTATAATTATTGTATTTTATTTCTTTGTTCTGTTTGTTTTGTTTATTATATTAGGATTTCATTTAATAAAAAAGAGTACAATATTTAAAAAACGAG